ACTCCACCCATCGTGGGGGCACCGCAATCGGCCGGGCTGATTCTGCTGAAGGACAACCATTCACAGGTCTGGGGACAGCGTTACTGTCACAGGTCTGGGGACAGCGTTACTGTCAACCATTCACAGCTTTGGGGACAATGCTGCTGTCAGTCCTTCACAGGTTTGGGGACAACTGTCAGTCCTTCACAGGTTTGGGGACAACGTTATTGTCACAGGTATGGGGACAGTGTTACTGTCAGCCCTTCACAGGTTCAGGGACAATGTTATTGTCAACCATTCACAGGTCATTGGGCCCTGACCCGCCCACCAAGCGGCTCTAAAGACTCTAAAGACTCATCTGCAGTCCTGGCTGGGGGTGGGACCCGAACAAAGCACCCGAAGGACAAAAGGGTCAAATCCCACCCCCTGCGCTGAGCTCTGTGTGTGTTGGGGGCAGGGATTTGTTGAGTTGGGGGTTGTTTGTGTGTTTTGGGGGCAGGGATTTGTTGAGTTGGGGGTTGTTTGTGTGTTTTGGGGGGAGGGGTTTGTTGAGTTGGGGGTTGTTTGTGTGTTTTGGGGGAGGGATTTGTTAGTGGGGGTTGTTTGTTTTGGAGGAGGGATTTGTTGAGTTGGGGGTTGTTTGTGTGTTTTAGGGGCAGGGATTTGTTCAGTTGGGGGTTGTTTCTGTGCAGATTTGTCCTCGGGGCCGCAGCGATGCAGCCCTGTCCCAAAATCCCTGGAAAACCAAGGTGCAGGGACTGGGGGGCACCTGCAGGGACTGGGGGGTGTCACTTGGGTGTCACTCGGGTGCCACCACAGCCAGGGGGTCTGCACAGCAGGCCCTGTGGTTTGGGTGGGTAAAGGGCCATCGGTGCAGCTGTCACTGCTGTCACTCTGCTGTCACACTGCTGTCACTCTGGTGTCACACTGGTGTCACTGGTGTGTCACTCTGCTGTCTGGTGTCACTCTGGTGTCACTGGTGTCACACTCGTGTCACTCTGGTGTCACACTGGTGTCACTGGTGTCACTCTGCTGTCTGGTGTCACTGGTGTCACACTGGTGTCACACTGGTGTGTCACTCTGGTGTCACACTGGTGTCACTCTGGTGTCACTCTGGTGTCACTGGTGTCACACTGGTGTCACTCTGGTGTCACACTGGTGTCACTCTGGTGTCACTCTGGTGTCACACTGGTGTCACTCTGCTGTCTGGTGTCACTCTGGTGCCCGTGACAAGAACACAAACCAACAGAGTGTCAGTTTATGCGGTGCTTTATTCAGGGCCCGGGAAACCTGAGGACTAACGTCCCAAGTCAGGATTCCAAAGACCCTCATGTCGACTACATCTTTTATACCTTTAACAAACAAAGCTCCGTGATTGGCTCACACATCAAAGCAAATATACCAGTTATACATAAACTTACATATATCATCCTGAGTACAATCAACCGTTAACTCTCCCCCTCTAACACATTGTGTAACTGACTCCCACCACCAGACTACATCCTATTTCTAGTTACAAATCATCTTGTGCCGGTTCTGCATGCTTGACTTAATCCTTTTAGTATTGTTTCTTCTGATCAGCACATTCCTGACTCATAAGTCCCAGGTGTTGCTGGCAGGGCCTCTTTCAGGCCTACCCTGCAAAGCAAACCTTTGACCAAACTACTACTAGTGCTGTAATCACTGCAACAACTCTGGTGTCACTGGTGTCACTCTGGTGTCACACTGGTGTCACATTGGTGTCACACTGGTGTCACTCTGGTGTCACTCTGGTGTCACTGGTGTCACTGGTGTCACTCTGCTGTCTGGTGTCACTCTGGTGTCACATTGGTGTCACTCTGGTGTCACTGGTGTCACTCTGGTGTCACATTGGTGTCACTCTGGTGTCACACTGGTGTCACACTGGTGTCACTCTGGTGTCACTGGTGTCACACTGGTGTCACACTGGTGTCACACTGGTGTCACTCTGGTGTCACTCTGGTGTCACTGGTGTCACTCTGCTGTCACTCTGGTGTCACTCTGGTGTCACTCTGGTGTCACTGGTGTGTCACTCTGCTGTCTGGTGTCACTCTGGTGTCCCTCTGGTGTCACTGGTGTCACTGGTGTCACTGGTGTCACTCTGGTGTCACATTGGTGTCACTCTGCTGTCTGGTGTTACTCTGGTGTCACTGGTGTCACTGGTGTCACACTGGTGTCACTGGTGTCACTGGTGTCACTGGTGTCACACTGGTGTCACTCTGCTGTCTGGTGTCACTCTGGTGTCACTGGTGTGTCACTCTGCTGTCACACTGGTGTCACTCTGCTGTCCCTCTGGTGTCACTGGTGTCACACTGGTGTCACATTGGTGTCACTCTGCTGTCACTCTGCTGTCACTCTGCTGTCACACTGGTGTCCCTCTGGTGTCCCTCTGGTGTCCCTCTGGTGTTGGGATTGTTGGGATTTTCCTGGTGTGTTCCTCAGTTTGATCCCCGAGCCGGGGTGAGTGCCGTGGGGGGAGGGGCTCTTTGTGTCCCCACAGCTCGGGGGTTGTGCTGGATCCCCGGTGTTGTGGGTGGGCAGGGGGTACCACAACTACAACAACAACAATGACAACAACAGACAACAACAACCAACAATGACAACAACAACGGACAACAACAATCGACAACAGACAACAACCACCACCACCAACAGACAACAACCAACAACAGACAACTGACAACAACCAACATGCAACAACCACCAACAACAGACAACAACAACCAGCAACAACAACGGCAACAAAAACAACAAACTCCACCAGCAACAACCAACTACAAAAGACAACAACAACAGACAACAACAGACAACAACAAAACAAACTCCACCAGCAACAACCAACTACAAAAGACAACAACAACAGACAACAACAAAACAAACTCCACCAGCAACAACCAACAACAACTCTGACAAACAACAACAGACATCCAACAACAACCGACAGCAACAAACAATGACAGCAAAACCAACAAACTGCAGCAACAGCCAACCATCAACACCCAACAACCAACCAGAGGAACAAACCAACCACCAGAACAACCAAACCAGAACAACAACACCCCCACACCCTCGGGTGACCCTGGGACGGCTCCTGGGAGGGGCCAGGGCTGCAGAGCCCCCCGTGGGGTTTGGGGGGGGGACGAGGCCAAAGGGCCTGAAGGGCCTGGGGAAGGAAATTTGGGGGATAAAGAGGAGTTTGAGGGCAGGGAAATAAATGTTTAAGTGCCTTCTTAAGAGATATAAAAGTAGGGAAATAAAGAGGTGTTTAAGTGCCTTAGAAAATAAGTGTGGGAGGGATAAAGAGGTGTTTAAGGGCAGGGAAATAAATGTTTAAGTGCCTTAGAGAAATAAAAGTAGGGAAATAAATAGATTTTTAATTGCCTTAGAGAGTAAATGTAGAGAAATAAATGTTTAAGTGCAGGGAAATAGATTTTAAGTGCCTTAGAAAGCAAATGTGAAGAAATAAATAGATGTTTAAGTGCAGGGAAATAGATGGGTGTTTAAGTGCCTTAGAAAGCAAATGTGAAGAAATAAATAGATGTTTAAGTGCCTTAGAAAAATAAAAGTAGGGAAATAAGTAGATGTTTGAGTGCCTTAAGGTAGAGAAATAAATGTTTAAGTGCCTTAGAAAGTAAAAGTGGGGGGATAAATAAATGTTTAAGTGCTTTAAAAAATAAGTGGAGGGGGATAAATAGGTGTTTAAGTGCAGGGAAATGGATGTTTAAGTGCCTTAGAGAAATAAAAGTGGGGAAATAAATAGATGTTTAAGTGACTTAGAAAGCAAATGTGAAGAAATAAATAGATTTTAAGTGCAGGGAAATAAATGCTTTTAAAGTGCCTTAGAAAATAAGTGGAGAAATAAATGTTTAAGTGCCTTGGAGAGTAAATGTGGGGGGAATAAATGGATGTTTAAGGTGCCTTTTAGGAAATAAGTGGGGGGAAATAAATGTTTGAGTGCCTTGGAAAAATAAAAGCTGGAAAATAAAGAAAGAAATAAAATGCCTTGGAATGTGGGGTTAAAAATGCAGGGCTGGGGGCTGAACGGCCTGGGGGTGGGGAATTTGGGACTCCCGAACAGGAGGATCCTGGAATTTGGGACCCCCTGGAATTTGGGACCCCCAGAACAGGAGGATCCTGGAATTTGGGACCCCCAGGAGCCCCTCTGGGGTGGGGATGCCCCCTCATCACCCCCCAGTCCCCCCATTTATCCCCCAATTCTTCACCTATTCCCCATTTCTCCCCAGTTCCCCCCAGTTCCCCCCAATTCTCCCCCATTTATCCCCACCTTCCCCCAATTCCCCCATTCCTTCCCATTTATCCCCATTTCTCCCACCATTTCCTCCATTTATCCCAAATTTCCCCCACTTTTATCCCCATCTATCCCCTTTTCCCCCCATTTATTCCCAATTCCCTCCATTTAACCCCATTTATCCCTGTTTTCCCCACTGATCCCAATTTCCCCCTCTATTCCCCCATTTCTCCTCATTAATCCCCAATTTATCCTCATTTCTCCCCCATTTCTCCTCATTTATCCCCATTTTCCCTCATTTCTCCCCATTTCTCCTCATTTCTCCCCATTTCTCCTCATTTATCCCCATTTTCCCCCATTTATTCTCGTTTATCCCCCAATTTCTCCTCATTTATCCCCATTTCTCCTCATTTCTCACCATTTCCCCCCATTTCTCCCCCATTTCTCCTCAATTATCTCAATTTCTCCTCATTAATCCCCCATTTCTTCTCATTCCCCCCCTTTTCCCTGTTTATCCCCATTTTCCCTCATTTCTCCCCATTTCTCCTCATTTATCCCCATTTATCCTCGTTTCTCCTCAATTATCCCAATTTCTCCTCATTTATCCTCATTTTCCCCCGTTTATCCCTCATTTATCCTCACTATCCCCATTTATCCTCATTTTTCCCCATTTATCCCCAATTTTCCCCCATTTCTCCCCTCAGGCTCCGCCGCCATCTTGGCCCTCCCTCCCGGCGCCACTTCCGGCGTCGCCGCCGCTTTTGCGTCACTTCCGGTTCCGGCGGCGGCGCTGAGGGGGCTCGGGAGGTACCGGGGGGGAATTTTGGGGGTCCCGGAGGGGTTTGGGGGGGTTTTGGGGGCTCCGGGGAGTTTTGGGATCCAGGGGGTCCTGGGTGGAATTTTGGGGGTCCGGGAGGGATTTTGGGGTCCTGGGGTGATTTGGGGGCGTCCGGGGGTGTTTGGGGTCGGGGGGTTCGGGGCGTCCTGGGGGGTTGGGGGAATTTTGAGGGTCCGAAGGGGTTGGGGTTCGGGGGAATTTTGGGGTTCCGGGGGTGTTTTGGAGGGTCTGGGGGCTCAGGAGGGCTCGGGGGTGTCAGAATGTACCGGGGGGGTTGGGGGTCCTGGGGGCACCTTTGGGGGTCCTGGAGGTTCTGAGGGGTCCGGGGGTCCGGGGGGTCAGGGGGATCGGGAAGGTGTTCGGGGGGTCCTGAGGGGTCTCTTTGCCTCCTTTTCTCCTTTTTGTTTCCTTCTTTTTTCTTCTTTTTTCCCTTCCTTTTTCCTTCTTTTTTCCTTCCTTTTTCTTTCTTTTTCCCCTTCTTTTCTCTTTCTTTTCCATTTCTTTTCCTTTTGTTTGTTTTTTTTTTTTTTGCTTTTCCCTTTCTTCTCCCTCGCATTTTCCCTCCTTTTTCCTTTAATTTTTCCTTCTTTTTCCCTTCATTTTCCCTCCTTTTTTCCTTCATTTTCCCTTCCTCCTTCCTTCCTTTTTCCTTCATTTTTCCTCCTTTTTCCCTCCTTTTTTCCTTCTTTTTCCTCCTCTTTTCCTTCATTTTTCCTCCTTTTTCCTGTCTTTTTCCTTCTTTTTTTTTCTTTCTTTCCCTCCTTTTCTGTTTCTTTTCCATTTCTTTTCTTTGTTTTGTTTTTTTTTTTCTTTTTACTTCTCCTTTTCTTCTCCCTCACATTTTCCTCCTTTTCCCTTCCTTTTCCCTTCCTTTTCCCTTCCTTTTTGCTCCTTTTTCCCTTCATTTTTCCCTTCATTTTTCCATTCATTTTTCCTCCTTTTTTTTCCTTAATTTTCCCTCTTTTTCCCTCCACTTTCCCCCCTTTTTTCCTTCCTTTTCCTTTCATTTTTCCCTTCATTTTTCCTCTTTTTTTCCTTCATTTTTCCCTTCATTTTCCCTTCATTTTCCCTTCATTTTCCCTTCATTTTCCCTTCATTTTCCCTTCATTTTTCCCCTTTTTCCCTCCATTTTCCCCCTTTCCCCCCCGTCCCCTCCCCAGGATGATCGAGGTTGTTTGTAACGACCGCCTGGGGAAGAAGGTGCGGGTCAAGTGCAAGTATCCCTCTCTGGGGGGGTCTGGGGGGGTTTTGGGGGATTTGAGGGGTCTGGGGGTTTTGGGGATTTGAGGGGTCTGGGGTCTCTCCTGCGTCCCCCTGTTGTTCCTGACTCCCCCAGCCCCGAGGATTCCATCCGGGACCTGAAGAAGCTGATTGCGGCCCAGACCGGCACCCGCTGGGACAAGATCGTGCTCAAGAAATGGTGGGGGCTGGGGCACCTGGGGGCACTGAGGGGCTGGGGGCACCCACTGGGACAAGATCGTGCTCAAGAAATGGTGGGGGCATGGGGGCACTGAGGGGCTGGGGGATGGGGGCCCAGACCGGCACCCGCTGGGACAAGATCGTGCTCAAGAAATGGTGGGGGATGGGGGCACTGAGGGGATTGGGGGCACCTGGGGGACCCATGGGACAAGATTGGGCTCGAGAAATGGTGGGGGATGGGGGCACCTGGGGGCACCTGGGATTGTGGGGGCACCTGAGGGGCTGGGGGCACCTGGGACTGGGGGGCTGGGGGCACCTGGGGGCACTGAGGGGCTGGGGGCACCTGGGGGCACTGAGGGGCTGGGGGCACCTGGGACTGGGGGCTGGGGGCACCTGGGGGACCCATGGGACAAGATCAGGCTCGAGAAATGGTGGGGGATTGGGGGCACCTGGGGGTCACTGAGGGATTGAGGGGCACCGGGGGGGCACTGAGGGGCTGGGGCACCCGCTGAGACAAGATCGTGCTCAAGAAATGGTGGGGGATTGGGGGCACCTGAGGGGGCACTGAGGGGCTGGGGGCACCTGGGGGACCCATGGGACAAGATTGGGCTTGAGAAATGGTGGGGGATGGGGGCACCTGGGGGATTGAGGGGCACCTGGGGGGCACTGAGGGGATGGGGGCACCTGGGGGGCACTGAGGGGTTTGGGGGCACCTGGGGGCACTGAGGGGTTTGAGAGGGCGCTGGAGGGACCCAGACTGGGACCCACTGGGACAAGATCGTGCTCAAGAAATGGTGGGGGGGATTGGGGGCACCTGGGGGCACCAGGGATTGAGAGGGCAGGGGGCACAGATGGGGACACACTGGGACAAGATCAGGCTCAAGAAATGGTGGAGGGGCACCTGGGGGCTGGGGGCATCGGGGATTGGGGAGGACATGTGGGACCTGGGGGCACTGAGGGAATTGGGGGGGCACCAGGGATTGAGGGGCACCTGGGGGGGCACTGAGGGGCTGGGGGGACCTACTGGGACAAGATCGTGCTCAAGAAATGGGGGCACTGAGGGGCCGGGGGCACCAGGATTGAGGGGGATGGGGGCACCTGGGGGATGGGGGGCACTGAGGGGCTGGGAGGACCCACTGGGACAAGATCATGCTCAAGAAATGGGGGCACTGGGGGCTGAGGGGGCATCAGGGATTGGGGGCACTGGGGGACACCAGGATTGGGGGCACAGGGGGCAACTGAGGGGGCTGGGGGCACTGAGGGGCTGGGAGGGCACCAGGGATTGGGGGCACAGGGGGCACTGAGGGGGCTGGGGGCACCTGTGGGGGCAGGGGACACTCTGGAATGGGGGCACAGGGGGCTGAGGGGTCACTGGAAAGGGCACCTGGGGTGGGGCCAGTACAGGGGGTTTAGGAGGGTCTGAGGGCGGGGGGCACCAGGATTGGGAGGGGCTGGGGGCACAGGGGACACCTGGGGCTGGGGCACCCCCAGAGTTTGGGGGCACGGGGCACCCCCAGGGCCTTTGTGGGGAGGGGCACCCTGGGGGAGGGAAGGAGGGGAGGGGCACCATGCCAGTAGTTTGGGGAGGGGCTGACACCCCTGTGCCCCTCCCCCCAGGTACACCATCTTCAAGGACCACGTGACCTCGGGGACTGTATCCTCATGGGGGAGGGGCAGCCCCAAATCCTCCCCCAAAATCCACTGATCCCCTGAGCCCCCCAAACCCCCCCCAAAATCCACTGATCCCCTGAGCCCCCCAACCCCTCCCCAAAATCCACTGAGCCCCTGGAGCCCCCCAACCCCCCCAAAATCCACTGAGCCCCCCAAAACCCCCTCCAAAATCCACTGATCCCCTGAGCCCCCCAAACCCCCGCCTAAAATCCACTGAGCCCCCAAAACCCCCCAAAATCCACCCACCCCTGAGCCCCCCAAACCTATTGAGCCCCCCAAACCAAGAGACCCCGTCCTAAAATCCCACTGACCCCCCAAACCCCTGAACCCCCCAAAATGTACTGACCCCCAAACCCCTGAAAACCCCCCAAAATCCACCAACCCCCCAAATTCCACTGACCCCCAAAATCCACAGACCTCCCACCACCCACCAACCCTCCCAAATCTCTGAACCCCCCAAATTCCACTGACCCCCCCAAACCCAACAGACTCCCCAAATTCCACTGACCCCCCAAAATCCATTGACCCCAAACCCCCTGGGCCCCCAAACTCCCCAACCCCCCAAAATCCACCCAAAACCTCTGACCCCAAATCCACTGACCCCCCAGAGCCCCCAGACCCCCCCAAAATCCACCCCTCTGAGCCCCCAGACCTCCCCCAAAATCCACTCACCCCCTCAGACCCCCTGATCCCCAGACCCCCAATCCCTTTTCCTTGACTTTTCCTTGACTGCCATTCCAGATGAGATTCACGACGGGATGAACCTGGAGCTCTACTACCAATAGCGGCTCCCAGTGCCCCCCAGTCCTTCCCAGTGCCCCCCAGTCCATGAAGGGATGAACCTGGAGCTCTGGCACCACTCAGTCCCTCCCAGTCCCCTCCCAGTCCATGATGGGATGAAACTGGAGCTCTACTACCAATAGCGGCTCCCAGTGCCTCCCAGTCCTTCCCAGTGCACCCCAGTACCCTCCCAGTCCATGATGGGATGAAACTGGAGCTCTACTACCAATAGCGGCTCCCAGTGCCTCCCAGTCCCTCCCAGTGCCCCCCAGTCCACAATGGGATGAACCTGGAGCCCTGGCACCTCCCAGTGCCTCCCAGTCCCTCCCAGTGCCCCCCAGTGCTCTCCAGTCCATAATGGGATGAACCTGGAGCTCTGGCACCACCCAGACATTCCCAGTCCCTCCCAGTCCATGATGGGATGAACCTGGAGCTCCCAGTGCCTCCCAGTTCCCTCCCAGTCCCCCCCAGTTCCCTCCCAGTCCATGATGGGATGAACCTGGAGCTCCCAGTGCCTCCCAGTTCCCTCCCAGTCCCTCCAAGTGCCCCCCAGTCCCTCCCAGTGCCCCCCAATCCTTCCCAGTCCATCCCAGTCCCCCCCAGTCCCCCGTCCCGTTCCAGCTGTTTGTAACAATAAAGGTGTTTTTGGGGTCTCCTCGTGTTGGGCCTCGGGAAAACCGGGAATGGGGTGGGGAAAACTGGGAATGGGGTGGGGAAAAACTGGGAATGAGGTGGGAAAAAACTGGGAATGAGGCAAGAAAACAAATTGGGAATGAGGTGGGAAAAACTGGGAATGGGGAGGGAAAAAACGGAATAGGTGGGAAAAACGGGGAATGGGGCAAGAAAAAACTGGGAATGGGGCAGGGAAACCAGAAAATGGGGTGGGAAAACTGGGAATGAGGGGGAAAACTGGAAATGGGGTGGGAAAAAAACTGGGAATAGGGTGGGAAAAAATGGAATGGGATGGGAAAAAACAGAATGGGGTGGGAAAACTGGGAATGGGGTGGGGAAAAAAGGGAAAGGGGGCAGAAAAAAACTGGATATGGGGTGGGAAAACTGGGAATGCGGAGGGAAATAACTGGGAATGGGGTGGGAAAAAACAGAGAATGGGGAGGGAAAAATTTGGGAATGGGGCAGCAAATTCCAGCAGAGTGGGAGTGGAATCCTCACCATCCACCAATCCCACAACTGCACCTGGGAACGGCCCCTTGGGGGTTTCTCTCGGGGGTCTTTGGGGTTTTCTTTGGGGGTCTTTGGGGTTTTCTTTGGGGTTTTCTTTGGGGTTTTCTTTGGGCTGAGGTAAAAAATCTTTCTGGGTTTGAACTTTTCCCCCCCTGCCCAAAATCTGCTGAGTCAGCACCGCCCAACTCCCCCCGAACCGGGATCGTCCCCAGGAGCTTCTCCTGATGAGCCCTCGAGGTTCTTCCTCCTCTGAGGGAGCCTCAGAGCTCGTTATCCAAACCCCAAGGGTTTCTGTCCCTGGAAACTCCTCGTTACAAAATTGACTTTATCCCGGCTGTCAATCGGCACAGCCAGCACGGCCCTGCCCTGATTCCATCTGCAAATCCCATGGGAAACAGCCCCGGCCACGATCTCGGCCCCCTGAGCCCCCAAATCCCCCAAACCCACCCCAAAAACCTCTGAGCCCCCAAATCCACTGAGCCCCCAAATCCCCTGAGACCCCAACCCCCAAATCCACCCCAGAAAACCTCTGAGCCCCCAAATCCACTGAGCCCCCTGAGCCCCCAAATCCCCCTGAGCCCCAAGCCCCCAAATCCATCCCAAAAACCTCTGAGCCCCCAAATCCACTGAGCCCCTGAGCCCCCAAATCCCCAACCCCCAAAATCCACTCCAAAAACCTCTGACCCCTTGATCCCCCAGAGCCTCCAGACCCCTCCCCAAAATCCACCAGACCCCCAACACCCCCTGAGGCCCCAACCCCCAAATCCACCCCAAAAACCTCTGACCCCTCAAATCTGCTGACCCCTCTGACCCCCAGAGCCTCCAGACCCCTCCCCAAAATTCACTGACCCCCAAATCCCCCTGAGGCCCCAGACCCCCAACCCTCCAGAATCCACCCCAAAACCTCTGACCCCCAGAGCCTCCAGACCCCTCCCCAAAATCCACTGACCCCCAAATCCCCCTGAGCCCCCAAATCCCCAACCCCCAAAATCCACCTCAAAAACCTCTGACCCCCAGAGTCTCCAGACCCCCAGCCCCCAAAACCCACTGGCCCCCTAAACCCCCCTCTGAGCCCCCAACCCCCAGAATCCACCCCAAAAACCTCTGACCCCCAAAGCCTCCAGACCCCTCCCCCAAAATCCACCGACCCCCAATCCCCCTGAGCCCCCAAACTCCCCAATCCCCTCAAAATCCACCCCAAAAATCTTCTGACCCCCAAATCTGCTGACCCCCAAAGCCTCCAGACCCCCTCCCAAAATCCACTCCAGCCCCCCCAAACCCCCTGAGCCCTAAACTCCCAAAATCCCCCAAAAACCTCTGACCCTCCAAGCCCCCCCGAGCCCCCCAAATCCCCCAACCCTTTTCCTGGACTCCCGGAGGGACCGGGAAGGGTCAAAGGAGGGGGGGGGTTCATTCCATGAATAACAAACCCTTTTCCCAAAAATATTCCCGGAAAAAATTCCCACCAGGAAGGGGAAAATCCCCCCGGGAATGCAGGGTGGGGGTGGAGGGAGATTGGGGGGCTTTTTGTGGGGATAGCGGGAGGTTTTTATTGGGGTATTGGGAGGTTTTTATTGGGGTATTGGGATGATTTTATTGGGGTTTTGGGATGATTTTATTGGGATATTGGGGAATGATTTTATTGGGATTATGGGATATTTTTATTGGGATGTCAGGATGATTTTACTGGGGTATCAGGATGATTTTTTGGGATATCAGGATGTTGGTGTCGGGATATGGGGACGTTTCTGGGGGGACCTTGGGCTACTTTTATGGATGTTTTTACTGGAATATTGGAATATTCCCATGGAGGAGTCGGGATTTGAGGGGGGATTTGGCTCGTGGGGACCCATAAAGGGGGATCCAAACACCAAGCACCGCCCCGAGATCGTGGCCGGGGTTGTTTCCCAGCGGATTTGCAGATGGAATCAGGACAGGCTGAGCCAATTTACAGCCAGGATAAAGTTATTTTTTTATGGAGGATTTTGGCAGGAACAGAAGACCTTGGAGTTTCGATAACGGGCTCTGAGGCTCGTGAGAAAGAGACCTTGAAGGCTGATAAGGAGAAGCTCCTGGAGACGATCCCAGTTTGGGTTAATCGGGCGGTGCCGACTCAGCAGTTTTTGGGCAGGGGTGAAAAGTTCAAGCCCAGGAAGATTTTTTTTTACTTCATCCCAAAAACCCCCGAGAGAAAACCCCCAAGGGGCGTTCCAAGGCGCAGGTATGGGAGTGGTGGATGGTGATGATTCCCTCTCCCACTTGTCTGGAATTCGCTGGCACAGCTCATGCAAATGGAACACAATTAATGTATATCTAACACAACTCATTAATATATAATATTATACTGCATAAAACGAGCCGAACAAAGGCAAGGGGGGTGCGTGACGGGGGCAATCACCCCCCGCGGCCCCTGCGCTGTGAATAAACGCACTCCGGGCGACTTTTGGGCTTTGTTTCTTCCCGCGATTCCGGGGGGTGCTGCGGGCGCCGTTCCAATCAGGCGGCGCGCGGGGCAGCCCCGTGGCTGGGGGCGGTGCGAGGGGGCCTTCCACGAGCGCCGTCGCTATGGCAACCGACCAAGATGGCGGCGCCCACGGCCCGAGCGGGGAGGGGTGAGGGGAGGGGGGACCGGGACCCCCCCCACGAGAGGGACCCCCCGGGACCCCCCCCGGGAAGGACTGACGGGCCGACGGACCCCCCGGGAGGGACTGATTGATCAGGGACCTCCGGGAGGGGAGCGATGGGGCAGGGACCCCCGGGACCCCCTGGGAGGGGAGAGATGGGTCTGGGACCCCCCCCGGGAGGGGAGCGATGGGTCAGGGGCCCCCGGGACCCCCCTCCGGGACCCCCTGGGAGGGACTGACGGGCCGAGGGACCCCCCGGGACCCCCCGAGCAGGGAGGAGACCGAGGGACCCCTGGGAGGGAGGGTGGGGGGGAAATCCCGGGACCCCCAAAGACCCCTCAGGAGCCCCTGAGACCCCTCAGGAGCCCCTGGGACCCCCCTGGAGGGACGGGAGGGACCCCCAAAGAGCCGCCCCCTTCTCTCCTCTCCTCTCCCCTCCCCTCCCCCCAGGCCGGGGGTCCTGAGCAGGGGGAGGCTCCGGCGGGGCTGGGAATGAGCTGGGAGTGACCTGGGAATGACCTGGGATCTACCGGGACCTGCTGGGATCCATTGGGATCTGCTGGGATCCGTTGGGATGAGCCATGGTGAGTGGGGGGCGAGGGGGGAGCCCGGGGGGGATCCAGGGGGTGTGAAAGGTGTCCCACCTGGTCCCACCTGGGCTCACCTGGTCCCACCTGGGCTCACCTGGTCCCACCTGGGCTCGCCTGGGCCATATCCTGTCCCAGATTCCGTCGAGGACGTGCTCGGGGATCTCCTGGGATTCGATGGTAAGGTGGGACCCTCTGGATCCACCCTGGGAGCACCTGGGGGGGGAACACCTGTCCTGGGATCACCTGAGCTGGGATCACCTGAGCTGGGATCACCTGAGCTGGGATCACCTGGGGGGAACAGCTGAGCTGGGATCACCTGAGCTTGGGGTCACCTGAGCTTGGGGTCACCTGAGCTTGGGGTCACCTGAGCTGGGATCACCTGAGCTGGGATCACCTGAGCTGGGATCACCTGAGCTGGGATCACCTGGGGGGAACAGCTGAGCTGGGATCACCTGAGCTTGGGGTCACCTGAGCTTGGGGTCACCTGAGCTGGGATCACCTGAGCTGGGATCACCTGAGGGGTTTCTCCTGTCCCGGGACCCCCTGGGGGTTTCACCTGTCCTGGGACCCCCTGGGGGTTTCTCCTGTCCCGGGACCCCCTGGGGGTTTCTCCTGTCCCGGGACCCCCTGCCCTGGATCCCCAGGGGGTCTCCAAGCCCCTCCCTGACCCCTCCCTCGTTCCCAGAGGATCCTCCCGTTCCCCCTTCCCGCGGATCCCGACTCACCTGGCCCCAGGTGAGCCCCAGGTGAGTGCTCAGCCCCTCACCCCCTGATCCCAAACCCTGATCCCAAACCCCTGATCCCAAACCCCTGATCCCAAATCCCTGATCCCAAACCCCTGATCCCAAATCCCTGATCTCAAATCCCTGATCCCATACCCCTGATCCCAAACCTCTGATCCCAAATCCCTGATCCCAAACTTCTGATCCCAAACCCCTGATCCCAAATCCCTGAACCCAAATCCCCCTGATCCCAAACCTCTGATCCCAAATCCCCCTGATCCCAAACTCCTGATCCCAAACCCCTGATTCCAAATCTCCCTGATCCCAAAATTCTGATCCCAAATCCTGGATCCCAACCCCCCCCGATCCCAAACCCCAGATCTTAAATCCCCCTGATCCCAAATCCCAAATCCCTGTCACAGGGGGGTCCTGGATGAGGATCCCGGCGGGAAATCCCCTGGAGATGATCTGGGAGAGACACAGGTGAGCGAGGGCAGAATTCCCAAACTTTTGGGGCAGAATTCCCAACGTTTGGGGCAGAATTCCCAAAATTTGGGACAGAATTCCCAATGTTGAGGACGGAATTCCCAATGTTTGGGTCAGAATTCCTCCCCTTGGGCTCTCTCCCCAGGACCTGGATGACCTGGATGCAGAAATCCTGGGAATCTCCCGATCCAGGCCCAGGCTGGCGGGAGCTGGGACTGGGAAAAGCCTCGGGAAGCCGCTGGATCCCCAGGAAGGTACCAGGAATTCCACTGGGCCTTTCCCCTGGAGCAGCTCCCGTGGGATCAGATTCCAAAGGGAGTGATTCCCATGGAATCAGATTCCAAAGGGAGTGATTCCCATGGGATCAGCCCCACTCCCAGGGCAGTGATTCCCATGGGATCAGAGTCCCCATTCCCAGGGCAGTGATTCCCATGGGATCAGCCCCATTCCCAAGGCAGTGATTCCCATGGGATCAGATTCCAAAGGCAGTGATTCCCATGGGATCAGAGTCCCCATTCCCAGGGCAGTGATTCCCATGGGATCAGATTCCAAAGGCAGTGATTCCCATGGGATCAGAGTCCCAGGGCAGTGATTCCCATGGGATCAGATTCCAAAGGCAGTGATTCCCATGGGATCAGAGTCCCAGGGCAGTGATTCCCATGGGATCAGATTCCAAAGGCAGTGATTCCCATGGGATCAGAGTCCCAGGGCAGTGATTCCCATGGGATCAGAGTCCCCATTCCCAGGGCAGTGATTCCCATGGGATCAGATTCCAAAGGCAGTGATTCCCATGGGATCAGTCCCCATTCCCAGGGCAGTGATTCCCATGGGATGTCCCCAAGGTGCCCCTCCCCCCCCAGGTGTCCCCCCCGGTGGTGACGTCACCGACCTGGTGGATTCCCTGGGAGGAGCCGGGAAAGCCTCGGGAATGACGGACAGGTGAGGGGACAGGGGAGGGGACAGAGGGAGGGACAGGGACACAGGGGAGGGACAGGGAGGGGACAGGGAGGGGACAGAGGGACAGGTGAGGGGACAGGAGGGGACAGAGGGAGGGGACAGGGGAGGGACAGGGACAGTGACACAGGGGAGGGGACAGGGAGGGGACAGAGGGACAGGGAAGGGGACAGGGAGGGGACAGGGACACAGGGGAGGGGACAGTGGGACAGGGGGTGGCCTGTGCCCCCCTGTGCCACCCCCCATGCTCCCTGTGCCCCCCTGTCCCCTGTGTCCCCCTGTCCCCCCTCCCCCTCCTCTCCCCCCCATGTCCCGCCATTCCCGGTGTTCCCAGCCCGCAGCTCCACAGGGGAAGAGCCAAAATCCTGGAGCAGATGGAGAAGGAGGAGCCTGGGATGGATCCCAAGCGAAAATCTGGGATGGATCCCAAGGGAGAACCCAGGATGGATCCCAAGGGGAAATCTGAACTGGATCCCACGGATCCGGAGCAGCCAGGTGGGAACTGCCCTGGGAGGGGGGGTTAAGGAAGAGCCTTCCAGGGGCACATTCCAGGTGGGAATTCCATGGGAGGAGCAGGGCAGGGCTGTTTCCCAAGGCCCAATCCCTGGAGGAATTCCCAGGCAGGCTGTTTTCCAGGCTTTTTTCCAGGCACTTTTCCAGGCTCTTTTCCAGGCTCTTTTCCAGGAGCTTTTCCAGGCTCTTTTCCAGGAGCTTTTCCAGGCTCTTTTCCAGGGGCTTTTCCAGGAGCTTTTCCAGGCTCTTTTCCAGGCTCTTTTCCAGGAGCTTTTCCAGGTGCTTTTCCAGGCTCTGACCAGGCGCTTTTCCCGGGCAGGGCCGTGGGAAGATCCAGATTTTCCCTTGGGATCCTACGAGCCCTCCGTGGCCTCCGAGGGGCGGCGGGGCCGGAGGAGGGGGCTCAGGTAGGGGGGGACCCCCCGGTGTCCCCAATGTCCCAATATCCCACTATCCCACCATCCCACCATCCCAATATCCCAATATCCCACTATCCTACTATCCCAATGTCCCAATATCCCAATATCCCACTATCCCAATATCCCACTGTCAAACTATCCCAATATCCCACCATCCCACTATCCCAATGTCCCAATATCCCAATATCCCACTATCCCACCATCCCACCATCCCACCATCCCACTATCCCACCATCCCACCATCCCACCATCCCACCATCCCACTATCCCACTATCCCACCATCCCACCATCCCACCATCCCACTATCCCACTATCCCACCATCCCAATATCCCACCATCCCAATATCCCACCATCCCACCATCCCAATATCCCATTATCCCACCATCCCAATATCCCACTATCCCAATATCCCACCATCCCACCATCCCAATGTCCCACTATCCCACTATCCCACCATCCCCCTCTCCCAATATTCCCGTGTCCCTCCCCCCTCAGCCCCCCCGTTTCCCGCAGGATTCCCGGCGGGATCGGCCTCTTCCCGAGGGAGTCCCCAAGGCCCTCCCTGAGGGGGGGTGGGGCTGGGGCCGCCTGGCTGGGGCTGAAGGACGAGGAATTCCCGGGATTGGGAGCCAGGGACGAGGAATTCCCGGCATTGGGAGCCAAAAATGAGGAATTCCCAGGATTGGGAGCCAAGGACAAGGGATTTCCGGGATTGGGAGCCAACAATGAGGAATTCCTGGGATTGGGAGCCAAGGACGAAGAACTCCCAGGATTGGGACCCGAGGACAAGGGTCTCCTGGGATTGGCATCCAAGGATAAGGATCTCCCAGGACTGGGATTGAAGGACAAGGATTTCCCAGGATTGGCATCCAAGGATAAGGATCTCCCAGGATTGGGATCCAGGAATGAGGATTTCCCAGGATTGGGATCCAGGGCCGAGGATCTCCCAGGATTGGGATCCGGGACTGAGGATTTCCCAGGATTGGGATCCAGGGCCGAGGATTTCCCGGGATCGGAGCCGCGGGATCAGAACTGGCTGAGCTCGGCCCTGGCCCGGAAAAGGGCCCAGGCCAAGGCCCGGGAGAGACATTCCCAACCCTCTGGGATCCCGGGAAAAGGGCTGGGGGAGGGGCTGGGGCTGCATTCCCAGGAGAGCAGGGAACTTCCAGGAGAGCAGGACACAGTTCCAGGAGCCCAGCCATCCCAGAGGGATCCAGGAGCTCTGCCATCCCAGAGGGATCCTGGGGCTCTGCCATTCCAGATGGATCCAGGAGCTCTGCCATTCCAGAGGGATCCAGGATCTCAGCCATCCCAGAGGGATCCAGGAGCTCTCCCATTCCAGAGGGATCCAGGATCTCAGCCATTCCAGAGGGATCCAGGATCTCAGCCATCCCAGAGGGATCCAGGATCCCTGCCAGCCCAGCCATTCCAGAGGGATCCAGGGGCTCTACCATCCCAGAGTGATCCAGGAGCTCTCCCATTCCAGAGGGATCCTGGGGCTCTGCCAGCCCAGCCATTCCAGAGGGATCCAGGATCTCTCCTATCACAGCCGTTCCAGGATCCCGGACCATTCCCATCCCAGCCATTCCAGAGGGATCCCGGAGCATTCCCAGCATTCCCGGCCCATCCCGGTTATTCCCTGCTCAGTCTCCAGGTCCAGGTGGCGGAGCTGGAGCTGCAGGTGGGGCCTGGGGGGGTCACCCGTGGGTGGGGGGGTCACCCATGGGATGTTGGGGTGTCACCCGTGGGGGGTCCCCGTTCCCGTTCCCATTCCCATTCCCGCAGGTGCGGGCGCTGGAGCTGGAGCGGAGCCTCTCCCTGGGGAGTGTCCAGAGGCGGCAGCGGCACCTGGAGCTGGGGGAGGGGCCCCACAGGTACCCCCAGAGACCCCCTGAGCCCCCACCCGGCCTGGGGGCATTCCCAGGGCATCCCAGTCATCCCAGTCCATTCCATCCTAGTGCATCCCATCCCATCCCATCAATCCCATCCCATCCCATCCACCCCATCCCATCCCATCCCAATGCATCCCAGTCCATCCCAGTGCATCCCATCCCATCCCATCCCAGTGCATCCCAGTCCATCCCAGTGCATCCCATCCCATCCCATCCCATCCCATCCATCCCATCCCCTCCATCCCATCCCATCCCATCAATCCCATCCCATCCCATCAATCCCATCCCATCAATCCCATCCCATCCCATCCCATCCCATCCCGATCCCTCCTCAGGAGCCGTGGGAAGGTGGGGGAGGAGCAGCAGGAGATGCCGGGACCGTCCCAGGATCCCCCCCAGGATCAATCCCAGGATCCCCCCCAGGATCACTCCCAGGATCCCCCCAAATCCCGGGATCCCCCCCCGTCCCCGGAGCGGGATGAGCAGCTCTCAGGTAACGTTCCCTCCACGCGCCTCATTCCAGGGATTCCCGGTGCTGATCCCAGGGAATCCAGGCAATCCCAGGGAATCCAGGCAGCCCCGTGGTGTCCCAGGGGATCCTGAGATCCCGGGAATTCCTTGAGATCCCGGGGATTCCCTGAGATCCCGGGAATTCCCTGAGCTCTGCAGGCTCCGTGTCCGGCTCAGCCCCAGAGGGGCTGCGGCTGCTCCTGCTCCCCCTCCGGGATCCCCCCGGAAAACCGGGATGAGTCGCTCCCAGGGTTCCAAAGGCCGGGAGCCAGGGCTGGAAAAGGCCTGGGAATGGGATCCAATTCCCAGTTCCCAGGATCCCATTCCCAGTTCCCATGACCCCATTCCTGGTTCCCATGACCCCATTCCCGCTGTCCATGACCCCATTCCCAGTTCCCATGACCCCATTCCCAGTTCCCAGCCCCCCCAATCCCAGTTTTCCGTGTCCCAGCGCTCCAGGCGCGGCTGTGCCGGCAGCAGCAGGAGCGGGACCGGCTCCAGGAGGCCGTGGCTTCCCTGGAATCGCGGCTGGCGGAGCGGGAGCAGCTCCTGGAGCAGGTGATTCCCGATCCATTCCCGTTCCCGAGCGCTCCGGGTGGGATCGATCCCTGGAGCCCCCCCTGCCCTTCCAGGAGCGCCGCCGGGCCCGGGCCGAGCGATCCCGGGCGGATTCCCTGCGGAAGGAGCTGCGGGAGCAGCGGCAGCTCCGGGATCAGCTGCTCTCCCGGGAGAGGGCAGAGCTGGACGAGGCCAAGGTGGGCTGGGACGACATTCCAGGGATTTCCCAGCCTCCCAGTCCTGCTCCGGGGGTGGGAAAAGGGCTGGGAAATGGGATTGGGAGCAGCTGGGAAATGGGATTGGGAGCAGCTGGGAAATGGGATTGGGAACAGATGGGAAATGGGATTGGGAGCAGCTGGGTGGGAACAGGGCTGGGAAATGGGATTCGGAACAGATGGGAGATGGGATTGGAAGCAGCTGGGAAATGGGATTGGGACCAGCTGGGAAGTGGGGTTGGAAGCAGCTGGGTGGGAACAGGGCTGGGAATGGGATTGGAACCAGCTGGGAATGGGATTGGAATCAGCTGGGAATGGGATTGGGAGCAGCTGAGTGGGAGCTGGAAGGGGCTGGGAAAGGGTCTGGGATCCATCCAGGTCCATGCATGGGGAATATCCCGGGATGCAACCTGGAGCTCCCAGCCCTGGGAGCTGCAGGGAGGGATGGAAGGAGGGAATCCCTGGATTGGGAAGGGATTTTGGGGGATGGAATCCCTGGACTGGGGGGATGGAAGGAGGGAATCCCTGGCTTGGGAGGGATGGAAAGAAGGAATGCCTGGATTGGGAGGGATGGAAGGAGGGATCCCTGGATTGGGGGGGATGGAAGGAGGGAATCCCTGGACTGGGGGGATGGAAGGAGGGAATCCCTGGATTGGGGGGGATGGAAGGAGGGAATCCCTGGATTGGGGGGATGGAAGGAGGGAATCCCCTTTGGGAAGGGACTGGGATCAGCCCCGGCATTCCCAGGGTGCGTGGCTGGAGCAGCAGCGGGAAGTGCTCCGGGAATGCTCCGAGGAGCGCCGGAGGCTGGAAAAGGCCCGGGCGGAATTCCAGAGCCAGGAGAGGCGGAGCCAGGAGCGCTCGGAGCACCTGGAGTCGGCCCTGAGGGACCTGGACAAGGTGAGGGCGGGAAAATCCCGATTTTCTTGGTGTTGGGGGAAACGTGGTTTGTGTGGAATTTGTGTTCAAATCCCCCCCCCCCGCCTGGGAATGTTCCCTGGGAATGTTCCCTGGAGATGTTCCCTGGCATCCGTGGGGATGTGCCCTGCCATCCCTGGGAATGTTCCTGCCCTGCCTGGGGATGTTCCCTGGGGATATTCCCTGGCATCTGTGGGAGTATTCCTTCCATCCCTGGAGATGTTCCTGGGAATGTTCCTTGGAATGTTCCCTGCTCTCCCTGGGGACATTCCCTGCCATCCCTGGGGACATTCCCTGAGGACATTCCCTGACTCAGATGCTCTCCCAGGAGCAGACCGAGCTGCAGTTCTGTTCCTGCCCTCCCTGGGGACATTCCAGGCTATCCCTGGGGACATTCTCTGACTGCGATGCTCTCCAGGGGCAGACTGAGCTGCGGTTCCGTTCCTGCCCTCCCTGGGGACATTTCCTGAGGACATTCCCTGCCCTCCCTGGGGACATTCCCTGACGCTGGTGCTCTCCCAGGGGCAGACTGAGCTGCGGTTCCGTTCCTGCCTTCCCTGGGGATGTTCCTGCCCTCCCTGGGGACATTCCCTGCCCTCCCTGGGGACATTCCCTGACGCTGGCACTCTCCCAGGAGCAGACCGAGCTGCGGTTCCGTTCCTGCTGTCCCTGGGGACGTTCCCTGGGGACATTCCCTGACGCTGGCACTCTCCCAGGAGCAGAGCGAGCTGCGGTTCCGTTCCTGCTGTCCCTGGGGACATTCCCTGGGGACATTCCCTGACGCTGGCGCTCTCCCAGGAGCAGAGCGAGCTGCGGTTCCGGGCGCGGGAGCTGCGGGCGGAGCAGGAGCGGCTGGAGCGGGAGCGGGAGGGGCTGGAGGGGGCGCGGCGGGAGCTGCGGGCGGAGCGGGAGAGGCTGCTCCGGGACACGGAGCGGCTCCGGCAGCGCGAGCTGGACATCCAGGCCCTGGCCGAGGTTGGTGATTCCAGCCGGGAGCGGAGCTGGGGCTCCCTCTGCGGTGGGAATCGTGTCCCAAGGGGGGGGAGGTGCCCAGGATCCCCCGGGCAGGGAGGGGGTCAATTCCCATCCCCATCCCTGTTCTCACCCCATTCCCATCCCCATCCCCATCCCCATTCCTGTCCCCATTCCCATCCCCATCCTGATCCCCATTCTCATGTCCACCCCACCCCCTTCCCATCCCCGTTCCCACCCCATCCGCATCCCATTCCCCTCCATTCCCACCCTGTTCCCTTCCCACTCCATCTCCATTCCCCCCATCCTATCCCATCCACATCCCATTCCCCCCATCCCCATTCCCATCCTATCCCATCCCATCCCCACTCCATTCCCATCCCCATTCCCATCCTATCCCATCCCATCCCCATTCCATTCCGATCCCCATTCCCCTCCTATCCCATCCCATCCCATATTCCCCGTTCCGGTGTCGGCAGCGCTCGGAGCGGCAGTGCCGGGACGGGGATCGGGCTCTCCGGGAAGCGCGGGCCGTGCAGGGGGAGCAGCGGGAGCGGCTGGAGCAGCTCCGGGAGCAGGAAGAGCGTTTGGAGCAGGTGATTCCCACCCACCAGCCGGGAATGGAGCTGCGCTGGTTCCCAGCCCTGTTCCCTGTTCCAATCCCATTTCCCAGCCCTGTTCCCAATCCCATTTCCCAGCTCTGTTCCCTCCTTCCAATCTTCTTTCCCAGCCCTGTTCCCTGGTTCCAATCCCATTTCCCATCCCAGCTGGTTCCAATCCCATTTTCCGTCCCAGCTGGTTCCAATCCCCTTTCCCAGCCCAGCTGGTTCCAATCCCATTTCCCAGCCCTGTTCCCCGGTTCCAATCTCCTTTCCCAGCCCTATTCCCTGGTTCCAGTCCCCATTCCCAGCCCTATTCCCTGTTCCAATCCCCATTCCCAGCCCTCCCCCGCTGTTCCCGGCCCTTCCCGAGGGCTCATCCCGTCCCTTTTCCCGGGAATGGCAGGCGCGGCTGAGCCTGGCCCAGCAGCGGCGGCAGCTCCAGCGGCTCCGGCAGGAATTGTCACCTCCAGGGACCGGGACCCGGATCCTGCCGGGCACGGAGCGGCTGATCCCGGGGGATGCGGTCCCGGGGGAGCGGCTCCACATCCCGCCGGCCCCCGGCGCTCCGGGATTGCTCCCGGCATTCCTGCCTCCCGTGGGGATGATCCTGGGGGGCTCCAGGGACCCCCTGTGGGGCTCCAGGGACCCCCTGTGGGGCTCGGCCGCGCTCCACGGGCACCTCCTGCTGCTGAAGCACCGGGCACGGGTGGTGAGCGCGGCGGGAAAGGGATCGGAACCGGCTGGGGGAGGAGCTGGAAGGGGCTGGGAAATGGGATTGGAACCAGCTGGGCTGGGAAATGGGATTGGAACCAGGGAGCTGGGCTGGGAAATGGGATTGGAACCAGCTGGGCTGGGAAAGGGGATTGGAACCGGCTGGGCTGGGAAATGGGATTGGAACGGGGCTGGGAAATGGGATTGGAACCAACTGGGGTGGGAAATGGGATTGGAACCAGCTGGGTGGGAGCAGGGCTGGGAAATGGGATTGGAACCAGCTGGGCTGGGAAATGGGATTGGAACCAGCTGGGTGGAGCTGGGAGGGACTGGGATCCAGGAAAAGGGGCTGGGAAAAGGGTTGGGAACCAGCTGGGTGGAAACAGAGGTGGGAAATGGGATTGGAATCAGCTGGGTGGGAGCTGGAAAGGCTGGGAAAGGGTTTGGAACCATCTGGGGGGGGGAACTGGAAGGGGCTCAGACCCATCCGGGTGGGATTTGGGCTGAAAGGGGCTGGGAATCAGCCCGGGGGAATCATCCCAATCCCTCCTCCCCTCACCAGGACCACGATTTCCTGGAAAGCGAGAGCCTCTTCCTGGAAAACCTGAGGAAGGGGCCCTGAAACCTCCCCTGGTGCCAGCCCGGAGCTCCGTGGGAGCTGGAATGGGAATGGGAGCGGGAATGGGAGCAGGGAACTGGGAATGGGAGCTTGAACGGGAGCTGGAATGGGAGTGGGAATGGGAGCGGGAGGTGGAATGGGAGCTGGAATGGGAGCTGGAATGGGAGCGGGAATGGGAGCTGGAATGGAGCAGGAATGGGAGTGGGAATGGAGCAGGAGCTGGAATTGGAGCTGGAATAGGAGCAGGAGCTGGAATGGAGAGGGAATGGGAGCGGGAATGGGAGCAGGAGCTGGAATGGGAGGCGGAGCCAGAGCTGTGCCCCCCCCGGGCACCAAACCTGCCCACAAACCCTGTGTTTTGGGTGTTTACAAACCCTATTTTTTGATGTTTACAAACCAATATATGTATTTTTTTTAGTAATAAATCCTTGGCTGAGGCGTTTTCCTGCAATTCCCGGCCTTCCCGGAGGGCTCAGAACACGGAATTCCTCCCCCCCACCCCCGCGGGTGTTCCAGTCCCGTCAGGGGCTGCAACGACGCTCTTTGAGATGACGAGTTGCCCGCTAATTGCCCATTAACACCTCAGGAGCCTTGGCAGAACGCTAATTAATTACCCCTTGGGAGTCCCCAGGAGTGACAGGAGAGTCCCCGGGGTGACTGGGGGGTCCTGGGGGTCCCCAGGAATGACAGGAGGGTCACCCGGGGTGACAGGAGGTTCCTGGGGGTCCCCGAGAGTGACAGGAGGGTCCCCCGAGGTGACTGGGGGGTCTCCAGGAGTGACAGTCGCCGGGGAGACTGGGGGGTCCCTCAGGAGCGGCTGGGAGGGCGCTGAGGGGGTCTCGGTGGTGAGTGGGGTGCCCCGGGGGGGTCCCGCGGGGTCATCCGGGGGTGACAGGAGAATCCCCCGGAGTGACTGGAGGGTCCCGGGGGGTCTCCAGGGGTGACAGGAGGGTCCCCACGGGTGACTGGGGGGTCCCGCGGGGTCATCCGGGGGTGACAGGAGGGTCCCCCGGGGTGACCGCGTGTCACCCGGGGGGAGGTCTCGGGGGTGAGTGGGGGAGGGGTGTCCATCTGTCCGTCCTGGGGGTCCCTGCGAGGGAAGAGGAGGGGGAGGTGGTGGTGGGAAGAACAGCGATGGCCACGCCCCCTTCGCGTAGCCACGCCCCTTCAGGGCAGCTCCGCCCCTCCTGCTGCACCCCGCTTTGCCGTGGCCACGCCTCTTTCTTTAGCCACGCCCACACATGGCCACGCCCAATTTGCCTTCTGTGACCCCGCCCCTTCCCCATGGCCATCCCGGCCCCGCCCCTTTCCTGCCGTGGCCCTGCCCCCGTTCCCGGCGTGCCCCGCGGTCCAAGATGGCGGCCCCGCTGAGGGTCCTGCTCCTGGCGCTGCTCGCGGCGGGGGCGGCGCTGGGGGACGGGGGGACCTGCCGGGGGACCGGGACAGGAACCGGCACCAGGGTGAGCACGGGGGGACGGGGGGACAGGGGGACCTGCCGGGGGACCGGGACAGGAACCGGCACCAGGGTGAGCACAGGGGGATGGGGGACCTGCCGGGGGCTCTGGGACAGGAACCGGGGCCAGGGTGAGCACGGGGGGATGGGGGGACGGGGGGACCTGCCGGGGGGACTGGACAGCGACCGGCACCAGGGTGAGCACAGGGGGATCCTAGGGCTGGGGGGACGGGGGACCTGCCGGGGGCTCCGGCACCGGCACCAGGGTGAGCACGGGGGTATGGGGGTACCGGGGGGACAGGGGGACCTGCCGGGGGCTCTGGGACCGGCACCGGCACCAGGGTGAGCATGGGGGGATCCTAGGGCTGGGGGGACAGGGGGATCTGCCGGGGGGCTCTGGGACAGGGACCGGCACCAGGGTGAGCACGGGGGACAGGGGGACCTGCCGGGAGGGCTCTGGACCGGCACCAGGGTGAGCACCGGGGGGACGGGGGACCTGCCGGGAGGGCTCCGGGACCGGCACCAGAGTGAGCACCGGGAGGACGGGGGGACCTGCCGGGGGCTCCGGCACCGGCACCGGCACCAGGGTGAGCACGGGGGGTCCTGGGACCGGTGGGACCTGCCGGGGGCTCCGGGACAGGGACCGGCACCAGGGTGAGCACGGGGGGGATGGGGGGTACCGGGGGGGACCGGGACCGGGACCAGGGTGAGCACGGGGATGTCCTGGGGCCGGGGGGAGCAGGGTGACCTGCCGGGGAGAACCGGGTTAATTGGTGTGTATATATGTTGATTAATATTAATTAAGGGGGCGGTGTCACAGCCATCGATCTTTATTAATATTCATTGGAGTGGATATATGCTCATTAATATTAACGAGGGGGCGGTGTCCCCATCCCGGTGTCACCTCCTGTCCCCTCCTTGTGTCCCCCCAGCCCGGTGACACCGAGAGCTGCCGGGTGAGCCTGAGCCTGGAGCACTCCTTCGAGCTGGGTGAGGGGACATGGGGACATTGGGGGGACATTGGGGACACTGGGGACACACTGAGCACTCCTTCGAGCTGGGTGAGGGGACACTGGGGGACATGGGGTGACATTGGGGACATGGTGGACACACTGAGCACTCCTTCGAGCTGGGTGAGGGGACACTGGGGGAGACATGGGGTGACATTGGGGACACACTGAGCACTCCTTCGAGCTGGGTGAGGGGACATGGGGACACTGGGGGACACTGGGGGGACACACTGAGCACTCCTTCGAGCTGGGTGAGGGGACACTGGGGGGACATTGGGGACATTGGGGACATGGGGGACACTGGGAACATGGGGGGACACACTGAGCACTCCTTCGAGCTGGGTGAGGGGACACTGGGGACACTGGGGACACTGGGGGGACATTGGGGGGACATTGGGGACACTGGGGGGACACACTGAGCACTCCTTCGAGCTGGGTGAGGGGACATGGGGACACTGGGGGGACACACTGAGCACTCCTTCGAGCTGGGTGAGGGGACACTGGGGGACACTGGGGACACTGGGGGGACACTGGGGACACTGGGGGGACATTGGGGGGACACACTGAGCACTCCTTCGAGCTGGGTGAGGGGACACTGGGTACACTGGGGACACTGGGGACATTGGGGGGACACTGGGGACACACTGAGCACTCCTTTGAGCTGGGTGAGGGCACATGGGGACACTGGGGACATTGGGGACATTGGGGACATGGGGGGACACACTGAGCACTCCTTCGAGCTGGGTGAGGGGACATTGGGGACACTGGGGGGACATGGGGGGACATGGGGACACTGGGGACACTGGGGACAGGGGGGGACATTGGGGGACGCTGGGGACATGGGGACATGGGGGGACATTGGGGGACGCTGGGGACATGGGGACACACTGAGCACTCCTTTGAGCTGGGTGAGGGGACACTGGGGGACACTGGGGACACACTGAGCACTCCGAGCTGGGTGAGGGGACATGGGGACATTGGGGGGACATGGGGGGACATTGGGGACACTGGGGACAGTGGGGACATTTGGGACATGGGGGGGACATGGGGGACACTGGGGACGTGGGGGGACAGACTGAGCACTCCTTTGAGCTGGGTGAGAGGACATGGGGACACTGGGGGGGACAGTGGGGACATTGGGGACACTGGGGACAGTGGGGACATTGGGGGACATGGGCAGTGTACTGGAGACATGGGGGTGGCACTGAGGGCACTGGGACAGGGGTGACACTGGGGACATGGGGGCGTCCTGGGTGCCACCCGTGTCCCCAGTGCTGTGTCCCCAACGCCCTGTCCCCGTGTCCCCGCAGATGCCACCCCACGGTTCTGGCGCAGGGGGACACTCAGGGGCACTGGAAGGGGGATGTGGTGCCAGGGGTGACCCCAGGGCTGTGTCCCCACAGATGGGGCACTCAGGGGCACTGGGAGGGGGTGACAGTGGGACATGGTGCCAGGGGTGTCCCCAGCGCCCTGTCCCTGTGTCCCCACAGATGGGGCACTCAGGGGCACTGGGAAGGGGGATGTCCCAGGTGCCAGGGGTGACCCCAGGGCCCTGTCCCTGTGTCCCCACAGATGACGCCCCGCGGTTCCAGCGCAGGGGGACCCTGTCCTTGAGCCCCGGCCCTGACCCTGCCCTGGCCCTGACACAGAAACCCCTCGGGGACGAGGACAGAGCCCGGCTCAGGGTCAGTGGGGGGGGACACGGGGGGGACACGGGGGTGACACTGTGTGGCACTGTGTGACAGTGTGTGTGACTGTGTGACAGTGTGTGTGACAGTGTGGGTGACACTGTGTGACACTGTGGGTGACACTGTGTGACACTGTGTGGCACTGTCCCCCGGCAGGAGGTGGGATGGGCTGTACCAGGTGTGGGTTGAAGGGAATTGGGGGTGGTTGGGGTGTCCCTGGGGTGTCCCTGTGGGTGACACGGGTGACCCTGTGACCCTGAGGGTGTCCCTGGGGTGTCCCTGTGGGTGACACGGGTGACCCTGTGACCCTGAGGGTGTCCCTGGGATGTCCCTGTGGGTGACACTGGTGACCCTGTGACCCTGAGGGTGTCCCTGTGTCCCTGTCCCCAGGAGGTGGCCGCCCGGGACGGGCTGTACCGGCTGCAGGTTGGGGGGTATTTGGGGTGTCCCTGGGGTGTCCCTGTGACCCTGTGGGTGTCCCTGTGACCCTGTGGGTGTCCCTGTGACCCTGTGTGTCCCTGTCCCCAGGAGGTGGCCGCCCGGGACGGGCTGTACCGGGTGCGGGTGCCCCGCAAGGCCTCCGGCCCCGGAGAGGAGGGGGGGGCCGGGTACGTCACGTCCTTCGTGCGGGCGGTGAGTGGGGGGGACACCCCCGGGTCCCCTCAGTGTCCTCTGTCCCCCCTGTGTCCCCTCAGTGTCCCCTCAATGCCCCCTCAGTGTCCCCTCTCCCCCCATGTCCCCTCAGTGTCCCCCTGTCCCCCCGTGTTCCCTCAATGCCCCCCTTCACTCCATGTCCTCCCTTCTGTCCCCCCCATGTCCCTGTGACCCCCATGTCACCCCCTGTCCCTGTGTCCCCCATGTCCCCTGTGGCTGTCCCCCTGTCCCCTTGTTCCCCCATGCCCCCTTGTCCCCATGTCCCCCTTGTCCCTCCATGTCACCCCATGTCCTCAGTGTCCCTGTCCTCATGTCCCTGTGTCCCTTATCCTCATGTCCACTGTGTCCTCTGTGTCCCCCACGTCCCCTGTTCCCATTTCCCGTGTCCCCTGTCCCCCATCCCCCTGTCACTGCTGTCCCTGTCCCCCTGTTCCCTGTGTCACCGCTGTCCCTGTCCCCAGTGTGCCCTGTGTCCCCTGTCCCCCTGTCCCGTGTCATCACTGTCCCTGTCCCTGTGTCCCCATGTCCCCCTGTCCCGTGTCACCACTGTCCCTGTCCCCGTCACCACTGTCCCTGTCCCCAGTGTGCCCTGTGTCCCCTGTCCCGTGTCATCACTGTCCCTGTCCTCTGTGTCCCCATGTCCCCCTGTCCTGTGTCCCGTGTCCCCTGTGTCACTGCTGTCCCTGTCCCCAGTGTGCCCTGCTGGAGTTGCACCTGTCGGACCAGCTGTCCCTGTCCATGTGTCCCCCTGTCCCTGTGTCACCGCTGTCCCTCTCCCTGTGTCCCCTGTGTCTGTGTCCCCGTCCCCAGTGTCCCCACTATCCCTGTCCCCAGTGTGCCCTGCTGGAGTCGCACCTGTCGGACCAGCTGTCCCTGTCCCTGTGTCACTGTCCCTGTCCCTGTCCCCGTGTCCCTGTCCCTGTGTCCCTGTCCCTGTGTCACCACTGTCCCTGTGTCACCGCTGTCCCTGCTGTCCCCAGTGTGCCCTGCTGGAGTCGCACCTGTCGGACCAGCTGTGTCTGTGTCCCCCTGTCCCTGTGTCCCTGTCCCTGTGTCCCTGTCCCTGTGTCACCGCTGTCCCTGTCCCCAGTGTGCCCTGCTGGAGTCGCACCTGTCGGACCAGCTGTCCCTGTGTCCCTGTGTCCCCATGTCCCCTTGTCCCTGTCCCTGTGTCCCCTGTCCCTGTGTCCCCTGTCCCTGTCCCCCTGTCCCTGTGTTCTCTGTGTCACCACTGTCCCTGTCCCCAGTGTGCCCTGCTGGAGTCGCACCTGTCGGACCAGCTGTCCCTGTGTCCCTGTGTCCCTGTGTCCCTGTCCCTGTGTCCCTGTCCCTGTGTCCCTGTCCCCCTGTCCCTGTCCCTGTGTCACCACTGTCCCTGTGTCCCTGTCCCCCTGTCCCTGTCCCTGTGTCACCACTGTCCCTGTCCCCGTGTCCCTGTCCCTGTGTCCCTGTGTCACCGCTGTCCCTGTCCCCAGTGTGCCCTGCTGGAGTTGCACCTGTCGGACCAGCTGTCCCTGTGTCCCTGTATCCCTGTCCCTGTGTCACCGCTGTCCCTGTCCCCAGTGTGCCCTGCTGGAGTCACACCTGTCGGACCAGCTGACGCTGCACGTGGACGTGGCGGGGAACGTGGTGGCCCTGGGGGTGGTGGCAGTGCCGGGGACCTGCCGGGGGACAGAGGTGGAGGACGTGGACCTGGAGCTCTTCAACACCTCGGTGGCCCTGAGGCAGCCCCTGCCCGCGGCCACGTGGGTGACACGGGATGGGGGGGGACATGGGAGGGACATGGGGAGGGGACACGGGGGACACAGGGACAGGGTCACATGGGGGGGGGACATTGACCTGGGGGGTCTCCCACACCCCGGTGGCCTCGTGCCACCCTCTCTGCTGCCACCTGAGTGACACCTGGGGACGTGGGGGGGACATGGGGGGCCCTGGAGGGTCACAGGGGGACACTGTGGGGACACTGTGGGGACACTGGGGGGACACAGAGCACCCCTGGGGACACTGTGACACCGCAGGGGGTGGCCCAGGGGGATGGGGTGACCCTGGGGGGGACATTTGGGGGCCCAGGACTGGGTGTGAGTGGGGAGGGGATATTTTGGGGGGGATGGGGGCCTGTGTCAGTTTGGGGGGTCCAGGGAGGGTCCCCCAGCTTTTCAGGTGTCCAGGGATGATCCTCCAGGTTTTGGGGTGTCCAGGGAGGGTCCTCCAAGTTTTGGGGTGCCCAGGGAGGGTCTCCCAGGTTTTGGGGTGTCCAAGGAGGGTCCCTCAGGTTTTGGGGTGCCCAGGGAGTGTCCCCCAGGTTTTTGGGGGGCCCATAACCCCCCCTGCCCCCCCAGCCCCGAGACTGCCGCCTTCATCCGGCACCTGGAGCAGGAGCAGGCACAGAGAGCCCGGAACCCCCAGGAGCAGAAATCCTTCTTTGCCAAATATGTGAGTGAAAAAAACCCCCAAAACCCCCAGCGACCCCCAAACCTCCCCTAAAAATCATCCCTCCAAAATACCCCCCAAAACCCCTCAACTTCCCCAAAATACCCCCAAAACACCAACAACCCCCGCACAAATCCCCTCCCAAACCCCACCAACCCCCTTTCCTAAATCCTCCACAAAATTCCCCAATATTCCCCCAAAACCCTCCCAAATCCATGAACACCCCCTCAAATCTCCCCAAAATTTCCCAATCCTCCCCCAAAACCCCCTTTCCAAAAATCCCACCCCAGAATTCCCAATATTCCCCCTAAACCCCCTCAAATCCCCACAAAATTCCCTAATTCTACTCCAAACCCACCAACCCCCAAAAATCCCCCAATACCCCCAAGCCCCATTGAAAAACCACCAACACTCCCCAAACCCTCCCAACCACCTGCCCAACCCCAAAACCACCCACACCCTCAAAGCCCCCAAAACCCACAACCCCTCCCAAATCCCCCCAAAACCCCCAGCCCTCCAAACCCCACCCATCACCTCTCCAACCCCCTCTCAAAAAACCACCTGCCCCAACCCCTCCAAGCCCCTCCTGAGCCCCCAAACCCCCTTTGGGGTTCCCCAGACCTTTTGGGGGTTGGGGGAGGAAGGGTTTGGGGTGACCTCCCCATTTCCCTGGGGGTTCAGGTTTTAGGTGACCCCATTTCCCACTGGGGAGGTTTGGGGTGACCCCTCGACTTTCCTGTGAGGGGTCTGGTTTTGGGGTGTCCCCATTTCTCACGGGGGAGGTTTTGGGGTGTCTGGGGTGGGTCAGTTTTGGGGTGGGTCAGTTTTTGGGGTGACCTCGGGGTGGGTCAGTTTTAGGGTGACCCTGTCCCCCACAGTGGATGTCCAGGGAGTGGGTCAGGTTTTGGGGTGTCTGGGGTGGGTCAGGTTTTGGGGTGTCTGGGGTGGGTCAGTTTTTGGGGTGTCTGGGGTGGGTCAGGTTTTGGGGTGTCTGGGAGTGGGTCAGGTTTTGGGGTGTCTGGGGTGGGTCAGCTTTTGGGGTGTCTGGGGTGGGTCAGGTTTTGGGTGACCCTGTCCCCCCCAGTGGATGTACATCATCCCCATCGTGCTGTTCCTCATGATGTCTGGAGCCCCCGACGCGGGGGCACAGGGAGGGGGCTGGGGGTGGGGAGGGGCGGGGGTCAGGTGAGACCCTCCTCCTCCCAACGCCCCCACTCCTCCCATGGAGGGGGGGATGGGGAATAAAGTCGTGTGTGACCCCCAAACTTGTGTGGCCCCCAAAATGTGGGTGTGACCCCCCAAAATCTGGGTGAGACCCCCCCACAAATGTGGGTGTGTGACCCCCAAACTTGTGTGACCCCCAAATGTGGGTGTGATCCCCAAAATGTGGGTGTGATCCCCAAATGTGGGTGTGACCCTCCCCGAACCTGTGTGACCCCCCCAAATCTGGGTGAGACCCCCCAAATGGGGGTGTGACACCCCCCCAAAATCTGGATGTGACCCCCCAAAACTTTTGTGACCCCCCCCCCAAATCTGGGTGAGACCCCCCCAAACTTGTGTGAACCCCCAAATCTGTGCAACACCCCCAAATGTGGGGGCACCTGGGACTACGTGGGGGGTCCTACTTCGGTACCCCTGGAGTTGGGGGGGGCGTGGGTATGGGGTCGTTTCTGGGGGGCGTCGAGGGGGCACCCGCGGGGTTGGGATGGGGGGGAGGGGTCACCTGAACATCGGGGCCCTCCTGGGGGGTCCCGGTTTGGGGTCGGGGGGGGAATGGTGAGCGGGGACCACGCCCCGTTATGCAAATACACGGAACGACACGCCCCTTTATGACAATCAATGCTCATCAGACACGCCCCTTTATGCAAATGAGCCGCCGGGAGGACCCACCCGTTTATGCAAATATGAGTTAACCACGCCCATCGATGCAAATACACTTTGTAAGAACACGCCCGTTTATGCAAATACACTGTTGGACACGCCCCTTTATGCAAATCAGCATGCGAGTGAAGGCCACGCCCACTCATTGCGAGGCGGGGGGGCGTCGCTGCCTCCCCGCGCGCTGATTGGCCCAGAGCGGGATCACGTGCCCCGCCCCCCGCGGTCACGTGGCTTTCCCGGAATCGCCGCCGCCGCTCCCGGCGGGTCCCGGAGCCGCCTCGGGGTCCCCGAAACCCCCAAAACTCCCCCCAAAACCCCCCGACCCCAAACCGGGCCCCCGGGATGGCGGAGGGCGGCGCGCGGCGGCTGCGGCCGTGGCTGCTGGCGCAGCTGGAGAGCGGCCGCTTCCGCGGGCTCGAGTGGGACGACGAGGCGCGCTCGGCCCTCAGGGTGCCCTGGGCACACGGCAGGAGGGGCGGCAGCAAGGGCGGGGCCGGAGCCGCGCTCTGCAAGGTGGGCGGGGCCGAGGCAGAGGGGGTGGGGTTTCAGGGAGAGGGGAGGGGCTACGGGAGAGGGGCAGGGCCGGCGCGGAGTGGGAAGTGGATATGCGGGGCTGGGGGCGGGATAAGGGAAAAGGGGCGTGGCTTTGGAAAGGGAAGGGCTCGGAAGGTGAGGGCGGGGCTAAAGGGATGGGGCAGGGGCTATTCGTGGGGGTGGGGACAGGGAAAGGGGGCGGGGTCATGGAAAGGGGCGGGACATGACGCTCTCGGTAAAATGGGGCGGGGCCATGGTGTGGGTGGTGTTATGTAAATTAAGGGGCGGGGTTAAGCTGAAAGAGGCGGGGCTCTGAGCAAGAGGGGAGGGGTGAGGGGGCGGAGCGTTGCAAAGCGAGGGGCGTGGCCAAGGAAAAGGGGGCGGGGCTTGGGCCAAACCGCGGGGTGGGAGTGGTGCCAGCGAGCATGGGGGCGGGGCTGGGAACGCGATGGGCGTGGCCAAGCGATGGGTAGGCGTGGCCAAGCGATGGGTGGGCGCGGCCTGGCTAGGGCGAGGCCAATCGATGGGTGGGCGTGGCCTGGCTGGGGCGAGGTCAATCGATGGGTGGGCGTGGCCGATCGATGGGTGGGCGTGTCCCCGGCCACGCCCCGACGCGGATTGGCTGCGCAGGCGTGGGCGGAGTACAAGGGGCGGGTGCGGCCCGGGGACCCCCCGGACCCCGCGGGGTGGAAGACGCGGCTCCGCTGCGCCCTCGCGCGATGCCCCGAGTTCGTGGAGGTGCCCCCGCGGGGCCGCCGCGACGGGCCCTGCCCCTACCGCGTGTACAGACTGCTGCCCCCCAGGGGTGAGCGGGGCGGGGGGACAAGAGGGGTTTGGGGGCCTTGGGGGCCAAGAGGGGTTTGGGGGCCTTGGGGGAGTTGGGGGGCCATGAGGGTTTAGGGGCCCTTGGGAGGGACACGAGGGTTTGGGGATCTTGGATGGAGCCTGGGGGCCTGAGGGGCCCAGGAGGGATTTGGGGGCTTTTGGGGGCCACGAGGGGTCTGAGGGGCCAGTGGGGGAAGATGGAGGGGCCACGAGGGCTTTGGGGGTCTTGGATGGAGCCTGGGGGGACCTGAGTGGGCCAGGAGGGATTTTTGGGTGGTGGTGTGGGGGAGTCGGGGGGCCAGGAGGGGTTTGGGGAGAGTTGGGGGAGGTTTTGGGGAACTCGGGGGAGTGTCGGAGTGGGGGAGCTGGGTGGGAATGAGGGGTGTCAGGAGGGGTTGAGGGGGAGTTCAGAGGGCCAGGAGTGGTTATGGAGGATTTGGGGCAGCTGGGGGATTTGGGGGCAGTTTTGGGAAAGTTGGGAGCATTTTGGGGGGTTGGGGGCAGTTGGGGGTATTTGGAAGCAGTTGGGGGTTGGGGGCAGATGGGGGAAGGCTTGGGGGCAGTTTTGGGGGAGGGTCTCGGGGAGTTTTGAGGGGTCTCGGGAGGAACTTGTGGGGAGGAGGAGCCCAATGAGGGGGCCTGAAAGGGAGGGGAGGCCCGGGGGCTCCTGGGGGTCCCGACGATGCCTTCTCCCCCCTCAGAGTCAAAGCCCCCAAGGCCCAGCGGAGCCAGAAGGAGGCGGAGCCAAGCCCTGAAGAGCCCCGCCCCAAAACCAGACCCCGCCCCCACCCCCAGGGGACACCCTGACCACAGAGAGCCCGGTGAGAGGCTGGGGGGTGTCAGGGAGGGGAGGGAGGGTGACCCTGGGGGTGTGGCCTCTGTCTGATCCCCTCCCCAGCCCAGGCCCCGCCCGGAGCTGCCGCCCCTGCAGATCGTGGTGGAGAGCCCGGAGCCCCTCCCCCCAGCACAGGGTAAGCCACGCCCCCTTAGCTGGCTCCGCCCCAATGCAAATCTGACCCCAGCTCTGACCACGCCCCCTGTTCTGCCCCACACGAATTTGGCTCCACCCACCCAAACTGTCACCCTGCCCCACCCTTGCCCACGCCCCTCCTATGGCCACGCCCCAATCCCCACAAAGGCCCTGCCTCCAACCATGACCCTGCCTGCTTTGGCTCCACCCCTTCACCCATCCATGGCCACGCCCACTGCACCCTGACTCCACCCCCTTGGCCCCACCCCCAGTTGTTCACCAGCTCTGGCCCCGCCCTAAGCCCCACCCACTTTGTCCACGCCCACTCTGCCCTGTGATCATTGGCCACGCCCCAATCCCTGACCCCACCCCCAGCCCCGCCCACCTTTGTCCACCCAACCAGCTGACCCCATAAGCCACGCCCTCTTCCCGGCCCCGCCCCCAGCTCTGTGGCGCCCCCCTCAGGTGACTTCGCGCTGCTGCTGCGCCTGCGCCGCGGGGCCCTCGAGCTCCACCAGGGGGCGCTGCCGCCCGGCGAGTACCTGCTGAGTCCTCCGGGCCGCCAGGGGGCGCCGCCGCCGCCGGGGGCGCTGCCGCGGGTGGTGCTGCCGGAAGGGGCGGGGCTTGGCCGGGGCTTCCTGCTCAGCAGCGCCCCCCGCGGGCTCTTCCTGCGCGCCCGGCCTGGGGCGCCCCCTGGCGGAACCCTCCGCGGGCCCCACGTGACCGCCGGGCCCGTCCAGCAGGGGGCGCTGCTGCAGCCCTTCGATGGGCGGCGCTTCCGGCACGGTGAGGGGCGGGGCCTAACCGGGGGGTGGGGCTACGGCACTTCCGGGATGAGTGAGGGGGCGGGGCTTAACGGGGGGTGGGGCTACGGCACTTCCGGGATGAGTGAGGGGCGGGGCTTAACCGGGGTGGGGCTACGGCACTTCCGGGATGAGTGAGGGGCGGGGCCTAACCGGGGGTGGGGCTACTGCACTTCCGGGATGGGTGAGGGGTGGGGCTTAACAGGGGTGGGGCTACGACACTTCCGGGTGGGGATGGGGCGGGGCTTAACCTGGGGGCGGGGTTCCAGCACTTCCGGGATGGGTGAGGGCAGGCTCGACGTGGGCGGTTCCAGCACTTCCGGATTGTGAGGCAGGGCTTGTGGAGGGGGGGCTAAACAAAGGGGCGGGGCTGGAGTCTTTCCCAGAGGGTGGGGAGGGGCTAAATTGAGGGCGGGGTCACACACTGCGTGAGAGAAGGGGCAGGGCTAAACCAGGGCGGGGCCTAAACACAAGGGGCGGGGCCTCAACACAGGGGGTGGGGACTACAGCACTGACAGGAGGTGAGGGGCGGGGCCAAGCCGGGTCACCCCCAAATGCCGGGGAGGAACGGGAGGGGGAGGGACCCCAAATCCCGAGGAGGAGGGGGGACCCAAATCCCACGGAGGGACCCCAAATCTCGGAGGGGAGGGAGGAGAGGGGGACCCCAAATCCACGGAGGGTCCCCAAATCAGCGGGGGTGTGAGGCACCCCAAATGCTGGAGTGGAGGGCAAGGAGGACCCCCAAACCAGCGGGGGACCCAAAGCCTGCGGGCAGGGGAGGGCCCCAAACCCCTGACCGCCCCTCCCCCAGAGCTGGAGCAGCACCGGGCGGGGCTCAGGCCTCCCCACACCGCGTGACGCTGGATTGGGACCCCCTCGGAGACCCCCAGGGCGAGGGGCTCGTGCTGGAGGTGGGGCCGGGAGGGGGCTTTTGGGGATGCGGGGAATATGGGGCTGGGGGGTCTATTTGGGGGGCCACAGGGTGATTGGGGTGCCAGGGGGACTCAGGGGTCTCTAAGGGGTACTGGGGTGAGCTGGGGGTCTCTGGGGTCCTGCAGATTCTGGGGGTCTCTGAGGGTCCCTTGGGGGTGTGGGGGGGTCCTGTGGGGGGGCTGGAGGGGTCTCTGAGGGTCTCTAAGGGGTGCTGGGGGTCCTGTGGGGGCTGGGAGGTGGGAAATGGGGCTGGGGGTCTCTGGGGGTGTTTTAGGGTCCCTGAGGAGGATTTTGGGGGACATTGAGGGGTTTCCCTCGTTTTCCCCCCAGCTCGAACAAGCCTTTGCCCAGCGGCTCCTGGACAGCCTGGAGACCCCTGAGACCCCCGGGCCCCCCAGGGCCCCCCAGGGACAATAAACACTTTGATTGTGTCAAAACCTGCTCCTGTGATCCCCAAATCCCCCTATGACCCCCAGGGCCAATAAACACCTTCATTGTGTCAGGAACTACCCCTGTGAACCCTCAAACCCCCCATTTTACCCCCCAGGACCCCCCAAAACCGAGTTGTACAAAGGGGGTTTATTAAGCTGGGGGGGGCAGGGATTGGGGAGGGATGAGGGGTTGGGGAGGGGGGCCAGGGTAGGGGGCCCCAGCACCTCAGTCATCCTTGAGCCCCCAAACACCGAGGCCGGGACCTGCTTCTGCTCCAGCTGCACCTCTGGGGGGACAGGGGGATCAGAGACTCCAGAAATGGGGGCCACTCACAGCCCCCTCCTCCTTCCCCCAACATGAGCCTCCCTCTGTCCCCTCCCGACTGCCCTGGGGACCCTCCCCCACCCCTCACTGTCCCTCCCCGTGTCCCCTCCCCCATTTCCCTCCCCTGTCCCAGTGCCCCCCATTCCAGTGCCCCATTCCAGTGCCCCCCATTCCAGTGACCCCCATTCCAGTGCCCCCATTCCAGTGCCCCCTTGTCCCCATGACCCCCCATGTCCCCAACTCCTGGTGCCTTCCCCAGTGTCCCCTTTGTCCCCAAGACCCCCCTCATTGTCCCCATGACTCCCCACCGTGTTCCTCTTGTCCCCATGACCACCCCCTTGCCCCATCCCCCAGTCCCGGTGCCCCCCAGAATGTCCCCCAGTTCCCCCATCCCCCAGTGCCCCCATCCCTCCCAGTGAGCCCCCTAGTTCCCTCCCAGTGCCCCCCAGTTCCCCCAGTGCCCTCCCAGCCCCCCAGTGCCCCTCATCCCCCAGTGCCCTCCCAGTTCCCCAGTTCCCCATCCCCCCAGTGAGCCCCCAGTGCCCTCCCAGTTCCCCCAGTTCCCCATCCCCCCAGTGAGCCTCCCAGTGCCTCCCAGTCCCCCACCCCCGGTACCGTCGGGCTCGTCCCCCTCGTCCTCGCCCAGGTCGATCTCCTCGGGGTTCCCCTGCTGGGACAGGGCGGGCTCTGCCCCCGGGGGGGCCTCGGCCCTGCACCCCCAGATCAGCTGGGGGGGCACAGAGACCCCCATCATCCCCCAGATCAGCACCCAAGGGGGGGCACAGGGACCCCCTACCCCCAAATCAGCTGGGGGGGCACAGAGACCCTCAACCCCCAAATCAGCATGGGGGGGGGGCACAGGGACCCCCATCATTCCCCAGATCAGCACCCAAGGGGGGGCACAGAGACCCCCCAACCCCCAGATCAGCACGTGGGGCACAGAGACCCCCATCATCCCCCAGATCAGCATAATGGGGGGCACAAGGACCCCCATCATCCCCCAAATCAGCACCCAGGGGGGAAACAGGGAACCCCAACCCCCAGGTCAGCACGGGGGGGGCACAGAGACCCCCATCATCCCCCAGATCAGCATAGGGGGGCACAGAGACCCCCAACCCCCCCTCAAATCAGCACCCGGGGGGGGCACAGAGACCCCCAACCCCCAGATCAGCATGGGGGGGGCACAGAGACCCCCATCCCCCCAAATCGAGACCCCCATCCCCGACATCAGCATGGGTGACACAGGGACCCCCATCCTCCTCCAGATCAGCACAGGGGGGGTACAGAGAGCCCAACCCCCCCCACATCAGCACGGGGGGGGCACAGAGACCCCCATCCCCCCAGATCAGCATCTGGGGGGGCATAGGAACCCCCAACCCCCCACACATCAACATGGGGGGCACAGGGACCCCCATTCCCGAAATCGAGACCCCCATCCCCCACATCAGCACCCAGGGGGGGCACAGGGACCCCCATCTCCCCCCAAATCAGGTGGGGCTGGGAGGCCACACCCACCTCACCTGGGGGGACACACCTGGGGGGCCAGGTCACCTGAGAGCACCTGAGTGGGGGGGCCACTGGTGGGTTTGGGGGGGGGGAGGTCAGAGCACCTGAGGAAGGGCACCTAACAGCACCTGCTGGGGGTGGGGCAGGGCGTGGGTGTGGCAGTGGGTGTGGCCCTGAGCATGGTCACAGCACCTGCTGGGGGTGGGTGTGGCAGGGAGGGGTGTGGCAGTGGGTGTGGATCAGGGCGTGGTCACTCACCTGACAAACAGCACTTGCTGGGGGTGGGTGTGGCAGGGGGGTGTGGCAGGGTGTGGGTGGCAGGGGGTGGCAGGGGTGTGGCAGGGGTGTGGGTGGCAGGGGGTGTGGCAGGGGGTGTGGCAGGGGTGTGGCAGGGGTGTGGGTGGCAGGGTGTGGCAGGGGGTGTGGCAGGGGTGTGGCAGGGGGTGTGGCAGGGGTGTGCAGGGTGGGTGGCAGGGGGTGTGGCAGGGTGTGGCAGGGGGTGTGGCAGGGTGTGGCCCTGGGCGTGGTCACTCACCTGACAAAGAGCACCTGCTGGGGGTGGGTGTGGCAGGGGGTGTGGCAGGGTGTGGGTGGCAGGGGGTGTGGCAGGGGTGTGGCCCTGGGCGTGGTCACTCACCTGACAAACAGCACCTGCTGGGGTGGTGTGGCAGGGGTGTGGCAGGGGTGGGTGGCAGGGGTGGGTGGCAGGGGGTGTGGCCCTGGGCGTGGTCACTCACCTGACAAACAGCACCTGCTGGGGGGGCCGGGGCGTGTCCCGCTGGGCCTCGGCCGCCAGAGCCTCTGCCCGCTGCTCCAGCAGCTTCATATCATCCAAACCACTCTGCCCCGGGGCCAGGTCAGACACTGCACCCCAAAAAACATGGGGAGGGGTCAGGGGGGATGGGGGAACACCCCAAAAATCATGGGGAGGGGTCAGGGGGGACGGGGGAACCCCCAAAACACAGGGGGGGAGTCAGGGGGATGTGGGAACCCCCAAAAAACAGGGAGGGGTCAGGGGGGATGTGGGAACACCCCAAAAAACAGGGATGGGGTCAGGGGATGGGAACCCCAAAAATGGGGGTCAGGGGATGGGGAACACCCCAAAAACATGGGGGTCAGGCTGTGGGAACCCCAAAAATGGGGGTCAGGCCATGGGAACACCCAAAAAACAGGGACGGGGGCAGGGGGAGATGTGGGAACTCCAAAACACAGGGGTGGGGTCAGGGGGGCCATAGGACACCCCAGGCCCAAAGGGACACCCCAAGGGACAGCCCTGGGGACACCCCAAGCCCTGGGGACACCCCTGGGGACAACTCTGGGGACACCCCAGGCCCAAGGGGACACCCCAAGGGACAGCCCTGGGGACACCCCAGGCCCTGGGGACAGCCCTGGGGACACCCCGTGCCCCTCCCCCGCCTCACCGGTGCCGGTGGCGCTGCCGGACGCCTTGAGCATCTGCGAGGCCATGAAGTTGACCTGGGTGTTGTAGGTGGCCTGCACACTGCGCTTGATCCGCAGCATCTCCCGGATCGTGTCCTCGTTCCCGTGCCGGATCTCAAACTCCTTCCACGTCTGCCAGAAACTGCCCGTGATCTGCGGGGACACCGCTGTGACACCTCTGTGACAACGGGGACACCCTGGGGACACCCTGGGGACACCTCTGTGACACCTCTATGACACCGGGGACACCCTGGGGACACCTCTGTGACAACGGGGACACCCTGGGGACACCCTGGGGACACCTCTGTGACACTGGGGACACCCTGGGGACACCTCTGTGACACTGGGGACACCCTGGGGACACCTCTGTCACCCTAGGGACAGCTCTGTGACACCGGGGACACCCTGGGGACACCTGACACCTCTGTGACACCGGGGACACCCTGGGGACACCCTGGGGACACCTCTGTGACACTGGGGACACCCTGGGGACACTCCAGGGA